ATGCAGATTCAACCCATACAACCAAGACCAGTTTGCCTGAAAGTCATGCTGAACACTTTCGTACAGGAACGACAGGCGGCTTCAGGACAAAGTAGCAGCAGCACCCACAACTACTCCGAGGCTTGTACTGAAAACGATGTCGTCAAAAGCTCCTGCTACAAAGTCGTGTTACGAGGTTGGTCGAACAACCGACTTGACAGACGTGTTGAACCTGCCACGACGCATCAACATGGCACGTGTGTGAATACATCGGCAGGAAAAAGCTTTGTCACATACCTCAAGGTGGCAACGACGGTAACAAGCAAAGGCCAAACACGAATGGCCATATCCTGACATGTGCCAACACGGAGGCATATGCTATAGAATGCTGCCGACATGTGGGCCTTGTCGTTTGCAGCTTGTACACGATAGCGGAGTTCTAATAAGAGTTTAAAGCTTAGTTACGTTTAGCTCACAGCAAACCTCCTGTCTCCTTGTCACAGACCGGAATCCTAATAAAATCGCTATTGCTCCAGTGAGGTGATGCCCATCAAAAATGCATCAAGAGTGGGTCGGGGCAGTGGCGAATCTTGAACTTCGGATAACGGAGGGTGATCCGAGTACAGCAGGTTCGGGAGGGTACAAGCCGAACTACGTGTTGACAGGTTTCATTTTAGCATGCATGTTGTGCGGCCATTAGTTTTCCTAAAGCTTGCAAGGCTGCGGACCCTGGATTCCTACCCATCAGACCCGACCTACTACCTCGCCAAGCCTCATTGCGACTCCCTAACTGGCGCCCGTTAATGAAAACGCTTTGCGCGGCTAAAGGCTGTTTTGCAGACTTGGGTTCGAGTCCTGGCAGCTGGAAAAGATGAAGGAGTTACAGGACTCAGGTCAATGATTGTCAAAGTTCCGGCCTGTCGGAACCCGAAGCAGCTCCGAGCCAAGTTCGTCTAATGCTTGAGCTTAACATCCTGTGTGAACCGGCTTCTCAAGTAGTGCCTGGTGCAACAACACGTAATAGCACAGCACCCGTAGCTGTAGCTTGAAGCTGTCGCTTCTCAGGCAAAAAATATTGCACGCAGTCTGAACAGAAACTCAGAAACATCATAAAGCATGATAACATCATATAACATAATAGTTTAAAGCCTAGTTTCCCTTGTGTTGGCTTGAGCCCCAGCCCGACCTGATACTGACATCCAAGGAGTTGAGGAATCGCTGCACGCTGGGCAGACTCATTGCCTGGGCTGCCGATGTTGCTTTTCTCGGCTCGATAGAGGGCCTTAATAATTATTAGAATAGGGTTTTGAGGCCCATTATACTATAAGTATAATAAGGAACCCCTAAAATAGTATAGGTAAGGGCTAATGCCGAGCTGCTTTTGCTTGTTCTGCTCCGGAGTTGCTCTACTGGTTAAGCCAGACAGCTTCCCCGTCGAAATGCAGGCAGTGCCCAGGCTGCTTGGGGTAAGGGGTGTCTCGGAGACACCTGTGCGCGTCTCTTTTTCACAGCGATGATTTGATAATCTCCCCAAACATGATACTCTGCTTCCGTAACTCCTTGCTGGTTTGATGTCCTATGTTCTGCCTGCAAACTTATTCGAGGCCCTTGAGCTGCGAATAACTGCGATACAAAACCTTTGTTAATTTCCCGACCATCACTGCAAGGCACCTGCACAAATTAATGCCACGGAAATGCCTAGACTCTTGCTGTCAGCAACGATGAAACAGGAAATTGACGAAGCTCGAAGGGCGCAACACTGCTGTGCGAGTTGTAGCAAAGGTGCTGCCACGAATTCCTCTGGCGACAGATGCCCGTCACCGTCCTGTCAAGCTCGGGTTTTGCCGCAGGAAGCTTTTCAAGAAACATGTAGTGACAATGTCGTGGCAACCGTGACAGCTTGGGGCTTCGTGGTGGCCTTGTTTGCATAACAGGAATACAGCAGTGCAGAGGTTGGGGCTAAAAATCGTTGCTCGCAGACAGCAGTAGCTTGGGATACAGCCTAGAAAGCGGCTTCCCAAACCCGTCCGTTGCTTCGGAGCCGGGCGGTCTGCATGAGAATCATGGGCCCAGAGGCTTCACTTAGAGCGTAGAGCGTTTCTTGCATCTTTTAGCTGTACCTGCCTAGAATAGATAGAATTGCTTTTAGACGAACATGTGCATGTCGGAGGCAGCCTCATCCGCCACCATGAACAAGTCCTCAAGCTTCCTGGCTGGCCAAGGACTGCTTCATGGATCTCGGGAGTCGGAGACTAGTGCTTGCTCCAGGACCTGCTCTGCTACTTCGATGTTCTGTCGGCATCTTGTCCGCGATTGCAATACGAGGGTGCTTGCAGGTCGGAAGAGTTTGCAGACGACAGGACTCTTCAGGTCGGGATTCTCGCTCCTCGCATGGCTACTTCCTAAAAGTTTCGCTATGCTGCGAGATTGTGGAGTCAGGGGGTCCCCCCTTTAAAGAATTCGCGTCCGCAAGATCACTCTCCGCGCACTCGAACTGACATGGTTGCGCTGACTTCTACTTAACCTCCCAAAGCCAAGGTCATCGACTCTTTGTTCTTGAAACCAATCATCACCGAAGCACCCCATGCGACCACCCTCCCACCGGGTCCTGTGAGTCTCCCCAGCCTGACCTTGGACAGCTACTTGCTCTCAGTGCAAGTTGCTGCTGGAAGGTGATCTTATAATGAGCCACACGCTGCCATCATGGAGAGTTGACAACAGTGGGGCCAAAGGCTGGCCATGCAAGGTCTGCCCCCGATCAGTGATAGCCACTGCTGCTGAAGATGTCGGTCGCTAGCATTTTAGAAATCTTGGTGCGGTGCTATATGTTTTTGCAACTCTGGAGAGCCGCCTCTTCAGCAAAAATGAAACTGACTTCAAAGTCTCTTGCCGCGCATGTAGACTCCAGACTCCAAAGGGGGGCTGCAACATTCCACTCACCATCCTGAAGAAATGTAACCGGGACGGATCCTCTTGGGGCACAGATGGCTCCGGCAAAGACAAAGCTCGAACAGACATGTGGGAGCATCACAGAGATTTCACCCCATCTATGGGCCTTTACAAGCCTCAAGCCAGAGGAAAAATGCTGAGTGTCGGCCTGAGCAAAACTTGAACCGGATAAAATGCCTGCTAGACTGCCGCAGTGGCCCTAGCTTCACAACCGGCCGTCGCCAAAACAGACTCTACTTACTTACAACTCTTTTGCCCTCAACATGCCCATGTTGAGGCCGCGCCACGTCTGGAGTTCTCCATTGCCATGTCCGCATCGTTCTCTGCGCTCGCCAAAGTTTCCTCGTTGAAGCACCATCATGAACCCTCAAGCCTGTGCATTGCGGCCAAGATCGTAGATAGTCAACCTGCCGCGAAACCCACAACCTGAAATCCGAGAAGTGTCAATCTACCTGCCTCGTTTAGAGAGGAGGCAGGAGGCAGGCCAACTCCAAAGCCCCATCAACCCTTTGGTGCGTCCTGCTCAGAGCTCAGGATCTCGTGTCCGAAACTCTGAACACACGGGCTTAACTTGATCACTCTCAGGCCAAGCTGCTTTAAGAAATAGGGCGGTCACGACGCGAATGACTGCAAAGACCACCTCGCCGAGAGACTGGAGCCAGTTTGGGGGCTTGCAAGACAGAGAGGTGCAAACATTGAAATGTAGCTGCGTATGGTGAGGAAGACTTTTACTCCCAAGACCCCAACCGGACCACGGTTGAGGGTCGTTCTTTTGATGCAGGCCCTATAGAGTATATGATATATGATATGTAACCTAAACAGACTCTCTCTCTCTATATCTATATATATGTATATATTGGATATTAGATAGACACAGATAGACAAATAGAACGTATAATGTAAACTCTAAATAGTGCAGCCCTCAAGACCCAAACCTCCAGGGCCTCTCACATGCTACAGACATCTGCAGGAGGACTTCCTCTGACTCGATGTGAACACGTTGGTTGTCTTTCGGGCCGTCTTGGGAACTTGGGGAAAACGGCGGATTCCAGCATGTCGAAATGAACCCTAAATACCCTAAACCCCTAAACCCTGAACCCTAAACCCTGAACCCTAAAGCCTAAACCCTAAACCCGGACAGCTTAGCCGCGAGGGTGATGTAGGTGAGGAAGAAGAGGGCATACCTGGGCCGAGCTGGGAGCTGAAGATCTGGTTCCCTTAAGGTCCCTTATAGTAGTCCCTATAACCGGGACCTTAAGAGACTATCCGAAAATGGGACTACTAGCAAGGGACCTTAAGGGACTATAAGGGACCTTGAGGGACTATCCTATAATGGGTTATAGGGACTACTACAAGGGACCTTAAGGGACTATCATAGGGATCCATTCCCTGGTTTCGGGGCTTTAGGTTCGAGTGTCCAGAGCCACATTGAGGCCTGCCGGCGCAGCTCCACCGTTCTGACATCTGTTTGCACTGGAACCAGCTGACTTTGGAAACGGGAACCATGTACCAAACTCTCTTGAATCCCGATTGAAGGCTTCAGGCTTGTACCTTCATTACGGGGTTCTTGGTTGAGGGGTTCTGGGGCCATGGGCGTTGTCGGTTTCCGGGCCTCTGCGCCGAAAGGTCTCTGAAAGCCTTGGGTTGCGATTCCCGTAGCTGAAGGCCCAGCTTCTGAGCCTTCTTCCAGACACGCGGCCTCTTAGAAGATTCAGAGACATGGAGACCATTTCAGACTCAGAGAATGAAGGCAGCCTGCCTTGAAGCCTTTAAGGTATGAGGGTTTTGATCCTCCAGGATGGGACACCCGCGATTGGTAAATTCGAAGGTGATGGGAATTAACACGGCTTAGGGTTTAGGGTTTACGCTCTCACAACTCGGACATGCTAGGCGAGGTTCCATAGTCGCTAGGGTTTAGGGTTTTAGGTTTAGGGTTTAGGGATGGAAGCAGCGATGAATGCTGGAGGGTCCGCAGACACCTGGGCATCAGATTTCGATCATGAATGGATGACATTCTTGAACGCCCTGTACCCAAACGGTGGCAGTCCAGATCCAACGGGTTTGAGAGGCCTTCATTCCCCGGGACCACCTTCAAAAAGTGGAGCTCTATCCAAAGCACCAGGCGCACCCTTTGCCTGGAAGTCAAGATTTAAACTAGTCCTACGAAAAGAACACCAAGCCGGCCCAACCCGCTCAAGCACGACACCCAGAAACTCTCTCAAACTTCCGCCACGTGGCCAGGGATCGACTTTCTCCAGCACTGGACGCACCACCGTAGGCCAGCTCCCGGAATGGGTAACTTCAAACCTTCGATGGTAAGGTCTAAGATCTGGGAGTCTAGGGTTTAGGCTTACGTGCGTTTCCTGGTCGCTTTGGCCCAGCATGGCACGGAGCGGGCTTCGCCATGTGTTGTGGTAGATCGATGCATGGTAGATAGATAGATGGACGGATAGAAAGATGTCTGTGTGTCTATCGACACGAAAAACCATCACCATCACAGTAAGCACCTGGATCATCAGCGTGAGTCGTCTGCCGCATGCGAGCAGGCAGCAGCCTTATTACCAGCAGCCTTATTACCAACAGCAGGGTGCATGCATTATGAATAGAAATATCACTGGTAATACAGTAGTCATCATCAGCATCACCATCACCATCACCATCACCATCATCATCATCATTATCATGATCATCATCATCCCCATCCTCATTGTGCCCAGAACGGACACGATCACCACGTTTAAACTGCTACTGACGTTGTCCTCATGATGCCCAGTCGTTCGAGATATGAAGTGCAGGGAGGCAGAGCAAAAACCCGTAACTGGCCCGTAGCACAAACGGCACAGAAAGCCAACTCGTAGGCCCAAAAGAGGCTTCACGAATCCTAGCTTTACAGTTCAGGCTTGACTAATCAAAATAGGGTCTGGGAGCTTATTATCCAAAACCGCCATAACCACACGCAGGGGGGAGGGGAGGGGCTGTAAAGGGGATACTACTACCAATGATTCCGATTCCCTTATGAAACTTCAGGCGTTCTGGCCTTTGGGCTTGTGCAGCGGGAAAGTGTTACATAGCTTGAGACCAACCGGGAGGCGCAACAATGAGGAGCTTTAGGGTTAGGTCTCTAGGGCTTAGGGTTCCCGATAAATTGCCAGACTCTGCATGCTGTCAAAGCGTCATGGTGTAGAGGGCCTTGAGGAAGCTCCCGTAGAGGTTGTTCATCTCTTCTCGGGCAGCGAGAGGTGCCTAGCACAGACTCGATTTCTGGTGATCTCCAGGTTTTCCGCTTTTCTTTACATGGGGGGTGTGGCTCTAGGGCTCTAGGACGCATGATTGGGACGCGGAATGCAAGGAGTGGCTTCAGGAAGCTGAGAAGATTTGAGGAGGTCAAGAAGCCGAAAATCTCTGAAAACGATATGCCAGACCTCACGCGCGTGTCAGACTTCGACGCGTAACCAACAAAGGCGGCGAAGTGAAATCGCAACGACCCCAAACGTCTACAGAAGGGGTCCAGCCAATGGGCTTGCGACCCAGCAGCAGATGTGAAACATCCAAGTTGTGGCCGAGACCATCTTCGCGACACTTGCAACTTATTGTGCTGGGAACCGTTACCCCTCGCTACTGGCCCTCGTAGGGTTTTGGCTTTAACCCTAAACCCGAAACCCCCTGCCCTTTCCTACCCCCCCCGTTCCTGGTCGTCTAGGATGAATCCTTGCAGCGCTTGGCAGATGATCAGCGCAAAACCTCTCGGCTCCGGATCCATGTACGGTTTAGGGTTTAGGGTTTTGGGTGATAGCCAGCTTCTCATTCAGACTGTTTGTCCGTGCGCTTTCTGGGGAATCTTTGAGCCAAGCTTCCAGTTCTTTTTTGGACTTAAGGCCTTGTGCTGGGAGTGCGATCGAGCACCCGCTCTTTCAGTGTGGCGGCCAGGTCACATGCCGATTCGAGTGGCTCCGAGTGCGGGCCAGATCACAACTCTAGATCCACTCAGGGCACACACCCCGCCTTAGATCTACATAGTTTACAGAGGAATATGCTTGGTTTAGCTTCGCTTTTCATTACCTGGAGCTGCTCTGACTTTGCCACTGGCTCTAACGAGGTCCCCCAGCACGTCAAGAAGCCAACATGGATGGACTAAACGAAGAAGCAGTGGATCCTGCAGCAAAAGTGGAAGACCTAGCGATGCTAGATTCGAAGACATTTCTAAACCCTAGGCCCTAAACCGAGGTGGCCTCCTGCCGCGTTCGGGTTGTTGTGACTTCGTTTGGCAGTTTCGTGTGGGAGGTCACAACGTGCGTATCACCATACTATATACTGCAGATTGTACATAGGAAAACAAGATCGTGCAAGCTACTAATCGACGATTCCTCGCCGGGAGGGCATCTTCAAATAAGCTGCTAGTTACTACTCACTGGTGGTGATGGTGATGATGCTGAGGGTGATGATGAAAACGGCAGCGATGACTGCGACTACTGCTGCTATGACATACGACTGACATACGACGGCGACTGCGTCTACTCCCTCTGCTGATGCTGATACTGCTGCCACTGGCAACAGTACTGGCGCTACTACTTTACAAGTACTAGTAGTAGTAGTAGTAGTAGTAGTAGTAGTAGTAGTAGTAGTACTACTGCTGCTACTACTGCTCCTACTACACCCACTAACACAACTATACTACCACTACCACTACCACTACTACCACTACTACCAGCGCTGGTAAACCTTCTCGATCCGACATAAAGCCAGAATGTAGCAAGCAATGCGACGTCGTTGTGGCAATATCTATCGCTCCCAGTGCAATGGGGAACCTGCCCCATTTCGGAGGTGTGTTCAAAAAATGCATGGCAAGTGGCCGAGTTTGAGCACAAGGAGCAGAACCATGGACCAAAACAAGGCTCCGATGCCTTGATATCTCAGGCTTCGTGGGTCCGCTTCTGGAGCGCAGAAGCCCTTATCACTGCGTTTGGCAGCACAGAGAAACCTCGAATCTCGGCAAGAAGGATGAAACTTGAAACGGAGCCTACTTGTGTTAAGGGCTGCAGGCCTTAGTCTTCCAAAGAGCTAGGAGTAGGAGTTAGGTCGTCTCTATATGACAACGGTCCAGCTGGCCGTTCATTTGGGAGTTTCAGAAAATTAGGGTACCTTATTTTGGGGTCCTTATAATAGGGATCCTATTAATTAGGGTACTATATTAGGGTCCCCTATTTTCGGAAACCCCCATTTTGAAGTCAGGACTTCCCAGAACCAGAACACCTCAAGTTGAGCCCAGCGGCTGGCAATGCATGTTCCCACGAGCAGCCTCAACCTTGCGTCTACCCGTCTACCCGTGCCGTCTTTTGGGAATCCGGTGATTAAGCGGTACGTAGAAATCGAGGCCATAACCCCCAGGCATTTCTTCACACTTCACACTTAAGAAATGAAACTACCCTCCAAGATGCCAACTCAAGTCACGAAGCAAACGACATTGACATGAATGTGGAAGCCTCTGCTGAGGCCAACTCGGAAGATCTACAGTCGACGTCGAAACCTGCAGACTTGGGAATATACGCCGTAGCGCCCTTCTCTTCCAGTCCATAGGACCTCCGTAAACTTCAGGTTCTATAGGGGGGGGGTTCCGATGTGAAGAGTGCAGAGGCTTCCGAGGCGCTGCCGGAACATCGTCAGCGTCTTCACTATCCGCAGTGTTCGGACGATGCGCATCAGCTTGATGACTCGGAGGCTGTTGGCCTGCCTTCGTTGGACCGCAGGATTGGTCCATGAAGGGTTGAACGTGGCACCAGAACCGGTAAACGGGTGATGCTCCATCTCATGGTCTTCCACTTGGGGGTGGTCTTCGAAGTGGGACTGTCTAGGGTCACATACGTAGGGTACTAGACCGGAATGCTGGGCTATGTCCTCCTGTGGGGAAGACGATGATCCGGCAAATCCTGTGTTTCAGTTTCTGGGCTTTGAGTCGGAGATCGCATTGCATGTTAATATATATATATATATATATTATATATATATATACATACCAGTAGGTTATAGTTGATTATAATACATACACTCCTCCAGATTGTCACACTTGCTTTGGGGGTAGACGGCAATGGCAGCACAAGCTGCTGCTGGGTCCATGTCGGTCAGTCGGGGAACTAGACCTAACGGTCCATGTACCCAAATAGTATGTACTTTGGCCCCAAAGGACCTACACAGGGACTACTTTAAGGCAAAAGTATATGCTATTTGGGTAGATGGACCCTTATAACCCTAAACCCTTACGGTACCCTTGAGGGTACCCGTTAAAGGAACCCTTAAGGGAACTAGGGGTAGGCCATGCCGTCCCAAGCTGCTGATCTCGGTCTTGATTGTCTTCAGTGCTGCTGCCAAGGACTAATGCAGGAAACAGGAAGAGCTCAAACACATTCCTCAGGCGCAAAACAACAAGTTTGACGAGGCGCACTGCCGCAGGCTGAGTCTTGAATGCTTCCAAGCAAGCAATTGCAGACGACTCAATGAAGTGACAACGCTCGCACCAAACACGTCATGCTCTGCAGGACGAGAGTCAGACAAACCAAGACGGCGTCAAAGACATTGAGATACCTGGCCACGCATCAGCGCAAGACTGCTCTCAATCGTACTTCGAATTCTGGAGTATACATTGCTGCAGTACAGCGGTCCACGCATTCCGGAGTAAGATGTCATGACAGGCTCAGGTTCCAATGCCAAAACAGATTCTGAGGTGCTGCAGGAGTGCTCGATTCGGGAGTGCTTCGAGCTCAAAGCTTCCTGTGATATTATGTTCATCGGGCCTACAGTGGCATCCGTTCTTGAAGCAGCTCATATACAACAGCAGACTTTGCTCGGAATAATCATCATCAACGTCTTCTTTGTGCAAGTCGCATGAATCCCAAGCGGGGATCCCAAAGCCACTCCCGGCCAAGGACATACGCGCGCACCACGACGTCCATGACCTTGCTGGCTTCGGGGTCTCAGAGTGTGGGGAGCTTCTGCACCGATGAACTTTCAGACCGTGCACAAAAGTCAGAGTAACTCGCACACTGTCGCAAGAGCATTGAAGGAATGGTGCGTGTCTGCGCGGCAGTGGGCGTGTGCACACGTGCGGCGCGTGCGTCTGGGTGTGTCCGTGCATGCGTGTGGACGCGCCTGTCAAGCTCAATGGGACGGCTGTGTCTGCATTCAGTCAAGCTTCAGCTTCGGCTTCACCCATGGCTTTGCCCTGGGACCCAAAGTACCCTAGACACCAAGCGCAGCCAGGGATCGTACAAGGTAAAGAAGACGTACTCCGCAACCTGATTACTGCAGCGTTTGTCGGAACAGTGGTGTTGATACCCTGAACAATCTCCGTTCGCTGTATCTTTCAACCAGAAGCACGGTCAGCAGCCTGCACATTCGTAAAATCCTGCCCAAAACCAGGTTGAAAATTTCGCATGCAGTCAATCGAACAAAAACCCGAGAACTGGAACCCTGAGCTCGGGATTCAGGGATTCACGTTACAAGACTGGGAGAAGACGGTCCCAAGCTGGCGTCCTTGCGTGGGGGACTTTTGTAGCACTGCGAGGCCCCGAACAAGGAATTCCGACTACTTGTTGGCCACATCTGGTTCCGCTTTGGCAGAGCATGTAGACCTTTCGCTCTGGCAGCTAGTTGGGCTCGAGCATGGACTGCAACTAGAAGACAACACAAAGAGATTTCAACACCACAGGATTCTTGCTCAAACGGCGGAGATCGGTGGGCTCATCCACATGCAGGACTGCTAGTATTCGCGACAAATTCTCCTGCAGTCCCACGAGTTCACATGAGAAGGCTGACAGGACACAAGCTAGTTTCGAGCAGTTATTACAGGGGTCCGCCCTGAACCTACAGTCACCACGGCTCCTGATCACCATAAGCCCGAAACTATGCGCCCTAAGCCCTAAACCCCTACCCTAACCTTCAACCCTAAGGCCTCGAACCCCTATTTAAGGCCCTGAAAACCCTCAGAGACCTCCCAAACTTCCTGGTGCCTCAAAAAAGTACTCGTCGATCCACTGGGTGTCCTCGACGCTTCCTTCAGCCCATGGCAACAATTCTAAAGAACTTTGATGAGATCGGCCTGAGGGATTCCTGAGCCTTAGAGGGTTTACGCTCTCACAACTCGGACTAGCCAGGCGAGGATTCAAAGGTGCGAGTCGGCGTGACACAGATTGCTGCAGGCCTAGGCCACCAGGGTTTCGAGTATGCTA